AGATACTTTATTTAAAATGTTGTTTTAATGTTGAAATGCTGCCTTGGGAATCCTGTTTGAGTTTAAAGGTGGCATAGAAATGTTTTAAATATATAAATGAATAAAATAACATGACTACAGTTTTGAGGCTTGTTTGAGGAAATTGATGACAGATAAATTGGTCAAAAACTGATGGGAATTCAATTCACACTGTAAAACAGATACACCGGTAAAGATGCAGGGTCCTTGTCTTCCTTTATGTCTGGTCATGGAACTCCTACATGTTACAGCGGATTATAGGATTGAAGTTTGTTTAGCCTAGACCAGGGGTCCCTCACAATTTTGAGATTGCAGAAACATCTGGAATTCTGACCCAACTTGGTGGGTGCAGCAACAAAATGGCTGCCACAAAATGGCTGCTGTAGAAAGTGGAGCCTGTCACAGAATTATTGCTACAACTTAACTTCAGTCACACAGTGCAGATTCTTGTGCTGTGGTGGCAGCTGCTGCCAAAGCAACATTTAAAAATAAATCTGCACAGCCAATCAGGAACTTTGCTGGGCAAAAGCTCTACCTGCCCCCCCTTCCTAAAAATACTTGGCGGGTGCCAAGGAAGGTGTCAGTGGGTGCCATGGCACCCACCACATTGTGTACCCCTGGTCTAGACATTACTGCCCCTATTTCTAAGCACAACTTATTCATTCATTCATTTCTAGGATTTCTTGAATCATTCTAAGCAGGGGTCATTTCGTAGAAAAAGAGCTAGGGGAACTCATTAGCATAACTCATTAGCATATGCCACACCCCCTGACATCACCGGAAGTGTGTCATAAGGCCACACCCCCTGACATCACCGGAAGGGTGTCATAAGGCCACACACACCACCCCAACGGTTCCGGCCGCCGCCGGCCTTGCAGCTCCACTGCCGAGCCCCATGAGGGGCCCGGCAGTGGACCTGCAAGGCCAGCGGGAGTGCAAGGAAGCCCCGCGAAGGCCCTCCCTGGCCCCAGGCATGCAGGGGTGGGGAGAGGCAGGGAGGAAGCAACTTACCCTCCCTCTTCTCCTGCCTCCTCCTGGCTGAATGAGGGCTGGAAGCGGGGCGACCGGAAGCAGGGGGCGGGGCTTCATCATGTGCCCCGCCCCCCGCACCTCACCCCGGGGAACTGCGATCCCCCGCAATCCCCCCCGAAATGACCTCTGATTCTAAGACAGATTCTCAAAACAGTTGATAATAAAAATAGTGTCATCAAACTCAGATTTAGGAACCTGGGCCAGAGAAAGAGATGGCTGGAAGCATGGGCCATCCAGCCAAAGTAGTGTTTGCTGTGTGTGGCTGGATGCCAGCCTAAGAGACTATGGAAGGAAAGAATGTTCCAAGGAGCCTTATGTTGACCACTTCCCACATCTGCTGTTGTGTCTACAAATTGTACTGTGGCCATATTTCATATATGTGAGACTGAGTCACACAACATCACATCATGAACATGCTAAGAGGCAGGCTCTGAACACTGGCTGTACAATATACTGGTCAGCCAATTTTCCTCATCTTGAATGCCAATAGTTTACCTGCTGAGAAGAAGATAAGTGACTTTGTTCTAGCTTAGGAGCAAATTGGCCTTAATGAGCATTGTAGAAATCAGACAGTTTTGCAAATAAGGGCATTCACTCATATATATCACCTGGCCTGTGCCTCCTGTTTGGAACATGGAGTTTGAAAAGATGCCAAATTTCTGAATAAATTGCATTTGGTTTGATTTTAAAAGAAGAAGAGGAGAAGGAGAAGAAATTGGATTTATACCCCGCCCTTCACCCGGAGTCTCAAAGTGGTTTACAAACTCCTTTCCCTTCCCTTCCCCACAACAGACGCCCTGTGAGGTAGGTGGGGTTGAGAGAGCTCTTTTGAGAACTGCTCTTTCAAGAACAGCTCTGACAGAACTATGGCTTGCCCAAGGTCATCCAGCCAGGTGCAAGTGGAGGAGAAGGGAATCAAACCTGGTTCTCCCAGATTAGAGTCCACACACTTAACCATTAATCCAAAAGGAATGTTTTGGTTTTGTTGGGTGGCATAAAACAACTGGCAGCATATTATTGGTCATTTTCATGTCCACTTGAACACATGTGTTATCTCTCTGTACAGATTGCACATGAAGGGTTGGAGCTTATGATTCCCTTCTGCTTCCAGGTCAGAAAGACTTCCTCAAATGGAAAAAAAGTTTCCTTCAAAGGAAGCCATTTTGTCAAAGGAAAACTCAGCAGAAAATAATCATAGGATCCAACTCATACAGCCTATGCACAGACAACAGAGATGTACTTATGCTTTGTACACAAAGAAATGGTCACCATTTGGAGGTCTGAGGTGAGCCTCAGCACTGCAATGCTTCACATGCTGACAATATACAGTTTTAGAACATCTGAAAAAGATCTGCTATGTTCTCTGTCAGCATTCTCACCATAGTTTACATCCAAATTTTGAACGGACATGAAATCTTGAAACATTTCAGAATTCACATTTGACTTCTGTGAAATGAATTTGTGAATGCTGACTTCAAAAATGTTTTTTCTAAATATCTTCAGCATAAACACTATGCACTTGGAAGTAAGCCCATGCCCATAGAATATGGCTGCAGCTCATGTAATTCTACTCGCTGTTATCTTGCTCTTGAACCCGTCTGTCATGTAGATAATATTTTGCTCCCCACATGCTGGCCATTGCATTTCATTTTAGCTGGGAATAAAGCCATGACTCCCTCTGTCTTCTCAAAAGAGGAACATTTACAATTTTAGAGATTTTTGGGATATTTCAAAGGAGGCTGGCATAAAGAGCAGAATGGACATTTGCTCTAATTGGAAACTCCCTTCTAATTATATTCCAGAGGGTTGTCTCTGGTGCTAACTGGTCTGAAACAGAAATTTTTATAAGAGACCTATTCAGATTCAATGAATATTTTGTGTGTTCATAGAATCTAGTCTCTAACCCCATATTCTTAGATTTTTAATTCTCATTATAAAATAAAAAAGAAACATAAAAAGGAAATGTCAAGATTGGAGGAATAAGGGAAAGCATGCATGCAGGGTCTAGATGCTTGTATAATAAGTGTCTTGAGTGCATATCTCTTTTTTCACTGCTTCCATGCATGTTATTAGCCACATAAGTCAAAGGGAGTCTCAAACAGGGCTTTTTTTGTAGCAGGAACTCCTTTACATATTAGACCACACACCCCTGATGTAGCCAATCCTCCAAGAGCTTACAGTAGCCCCTGTAAGAAGAGCTCTGTAAGCTCCTGGAGGATTGGCTACATTAGGGGCGTGTGGCCTAACATGCAAAGGAGTTCCTACTACAAAAAAAGCCCTGCAGATATTCCCCAACACTTATGAAAGCTTTTGGGTCAAGCTTCTGATATGAGCCAACACAGCTTTAGAGACCAACAAGATTTTGGAGTACAAACTTTCCAGAATCAAAGCTCCCTTTGTTAGATATATGCTTATATCCTCCAAAATCTTATTGGTCTCAATGGTGCTACTGGAATGTAGCTATTCTAATGTAGACCAACATGGCTATCCTCCTGAAACTATCTTTCAGGATACAGTTTTCAGCAGGTTGTACAGACAGCGAAGATTTTCATTGCCACTGTGAATGCAGATGCATGTTCCTTGGTAATGGAGCTTCCACACGTGGTAGTTTTCTGCATACTTATCTCTGTCTTTTCCAAAACTGTCTGTTTGAGACATGCTCTGCAGTGACTCCACATTGATTGTTGGGGCATAGTCATCACAGCTGCTCTGGCAACTTGCCACCTCTTTTGCCCCCTTCACACATGCAGATATTGGGTTGGATCCAAAGGTTTCAGCCCACTAATGGTGCAGAGAACCTTCCATTGGAAGAACATGCCTTTTCTATCACAGCAAGGCTACTTATACTGGCAGAATGTTCCAGGTGCCATACTCTACCACTAGTTAAATGGAACCACAGTGTTTAAACTTGAGGTTTAGGCTAGACAGAGGGCATAGGACAATAAAAGCCTTTATGCAGTGAACCAGGGGAAATGATGAATCAGTACAAACTGCAACATTCAGCTCTTGGTAAGCGCTGTTGAAGAGGCAGGCTCTTTCTCTGAGAAGTTAAATAGGATCTTGTTTCCCCATTCCACCAAGCATCCCTGATTGTTAAAGGCTTTATTTGTCAATTTTCTTTCAATACACCTTTCTCACCTTCAATGGTGGGTGTTACCAGATCTCAACTGCTACTCACAGGGTTGTTTTATACACTTAACAGGGAGTTGAGCCAGTAACGGCTCTCTGATGGCTTGCATGATACATATTTTCAAATACCTTGCCATCACACTTCAAGTTTCAAGGAGTATATGTAAAGTGTTAAGAAGACCATAATCACACATCTATGGAGACTTGGTTGCAAATATGAGTTTTCTGTTTTAGGCAACTCTGCAAAGCCCAAAATAAAAACATGTGACATTTGTTCAGTGAACACATTTCCCAGATGGCAATAAGCTAAAGTTTCTGGGCCAAAATTTAAATTACCAGCCTAGCTGTTACTGGTTTGCTGTCCTATTACTACCCTTTCAAGCCATTCTGTTGCCTAAAATGAAGGGCTGAGTGACCCAGACCTAAATTAGCTAGAAAGAGTACAAAGAATGCTGGTTTTGACCTCAATCATCATCCAAATATATTATGGCATTAGAACATCATGGAGTGATGTGCGATTTTCAAGATGATTGTGTTTATTTCTTGAATTGTTGCTTCAGAACTTTCCTTTTGTGGTGCTGGAAAATTTACCAGGGTTTGAAAAAGAATGGGAATGATTAACGAGATTAACTTCATTTAAGTCCTATCTGAAAAGCAGCAGAGCTCTTTTCTAAAATGCGCAAGTTTGAATGCTTGTCTGATTGTTTGAAAATAAGTTTTCTCTTCATTTAAGAAAAAACAACAGCAGATCTCCAGTAGTGTCAGGTGTTTTTAAAAAATTTAACACAGCAAACAACATAATTACATAGTGTGCAGCTGGACAGGGTTCTGATCAATTTATTTCTTCTTCTTAAATACTTGATGACACACCTGGTCTTCACACGTCAGCTCCTATAACAATAAAACAATTGATAAGCTCATACTGTTCCCATTTGTGGTTCTTACAGTCAGCATCTCAGAAACCCCAAAACTCACAGATAAACAGCTGAGCCAACGCATTAACAATGGGCTTGAGCTATTAAAAGGAAACGAGCGGTGTATTTTACGTAACCAATCAGCCAGCAAGCACTACAGGTTGCAGTAATTAGATTTTGACACTCGAATTGAGTTTTAAAACGGATAAAAATGAAAAATGCATGGAAATTGCTCTGTAACGGCGGGACATTGCATAGTCTATTATTAACCAACATACTGTAATTTATTAAACTCACTGAAGCAACAAGGAAATTGCAAAAGGCGAGGAAGGAAAAACTTTAAAGATAACAGAAGGTAACTGTAACACTTTGTCAATAGGTTTCTCTGCCAGTATCTGCACAATGTGGATCTTAACTTAGAATGTTCTACCAACCATTACAAATCTGGCGAATGAGATTATTGGCAAATTTTGAATTTGTTTTGCAATAAAAGAAGGTAAGATTGCCTTGGAGCAGGGTAAGATGCTGGTTTCTTCTGGGGTGAAATCAACTGAGTTGTATTTTTATTCATCTTATTGACTGCTAAAAGCTGAAGGCACAATTTAAGATCAAGAAAACCTTTAAGACTAGAATATAGATGGGTACTTTCCAACTTATTGTTGAAATTAATCCCCTGCCCTGTTCTGTTGGTCCCTTTGTGGCCGCAAATAGTCAATTCCATTTTGAACTGAATGGTGCTGTCCCAATTTGCAACAATGAAAACAGAAAGAGGATATTGTAAAGCACAAGTGGCATGTTCTAAGAAGAGCATTCTTTAAATATCAGTATATATAATTTTGGACTCTATGCACTATTATCCATTTCTTTCTTTTCATAACTGAATCAGGTAAATCACTGACCCATATTTCTTGATCTGTAAAATGGGTACACAAGAGATAATGGATATAATCCAGAGAATCACACAACAATCTCTGAATATCTAGCAGGAAAACTGACTTTTTTAAAAAAGAAACTTTTTAAGTTTGGAGAGTATTAGGCATGAGTCACTGCTGTGCAAAAAAGAAAAACAGAGGTGCATATATTGTAATTCTGTATTTATTTATTTATTTATTCGATTTATACCCCACCCTCATTGTTAAAACAGTGCAGGAGATTTGCCAGTCCACTTAGGGATGAATGAATATTTACTATTCAATTTCTTTTTATATTCATTTATATTTCAATTGTTTCAGTTCTTAGCATTTTGTAGATTTGTTTGTACTATGTAATAAAATAATAATAATTATCATATGGCATTGTGTGACGAATAGCCAGGAGATCCTAAGATTGTCTGGCAGCCACAACTTCCAAGAAGTTCTCTTTTAGCGTTATGCACCATGAAGTGGTGAGCAAGACTTGTTTTTTTAAGGCAAGAGATTTTTCAGAGTTGGTTTGCCATTGTCTTTCTCTGTGTCATGACCCTGGTATTCCTTGGAGGTTGCCCTTCCAAATACTAACTAAGGCCAATCTTGCTTAGTTTCTGAGATCTCATGAGATTGGGCTGGCCTGGACTATCCAAGTCAGGGCATTTGTACTATGTATCTAAACAGTACAGATTGTTATGTAATTTATAGAGTACAAGGGGGGACCCGCGATACTCGCGGGGGAGGGGGGGAGAAGAGCTCCGTCTCCTCCATCCCCCCCATCTCCCCGCGGCGGCGGCGAGGACGGTTCCCCCCCCCCGCCTGCCGGCTCCGGGGAGGAGGAGGAGGAGGCGGCGGAGGCGAGGCCCGGCTTACCCCCTCCCTCCCTCCCTCCCTGCCCGCCCGCCCG